CCCACATAAGGTGAAACACAGTTCTAACTGTGTTTTGTCACTCCTTGGAGGGATTCAAAAAGCCGCATGAGAAGAGGTCCGTGTCTCTCAAAAGGCTGGCTTTTCAGGAGCCAGCTCTGTACCATGAAAATCAATAGCAACTGATGCCAAAATACGTCTGAAAGATTCAGATTGTCCACGAATTTGATCTTGTTTAGGGTTTTGTTGTTAAATTCAGAGACAAAGCTCTCACTAATGCAGGATGTCTGTCTTCATTGTTAACTTGAACTCGAATAGCATCGGTGTGGCAGTTGGATAGGCAGTTCTGCCTGTGCTACAGTGCCCAAATACCTGCTATAAACGTGAGGCGACCCTAAACTCTCCTCTTCTTGCAGGGTATCGAGCGACTTAAGAATCAGAAGCCAACCTGGGAGAAGATCAGCGGCTGGGAGGGAATGAAGCTGGCGTTCGGCGGTGCCTTCTCTTTGGGTTGGTTCAACCCTTTCTCAAACCTGAACTGCGAGAGGCCAGCGCCGGCTGAAGCGGCAGCAGCAGCTCCCGCGTCTGAAATACTGACCCAAGAGGAAATCGAGCAGTTTCTCGCTCGAGACGTTGCCATCCAGGTACACGAATAAGCAAAGCATCCTCTGCGATACCAGGAGAAGCTTTCAGGTGTTTTCTTTTTAATAACTTCTCGTGCTGGAGATTTAAAGGCGTTGGTTTTTAACATACTTCTGGTGCATTAAAAAATTCAGGACTATTTGTCTGGAAGCTGGGCACAGCACTAGCAGAAGCAATGCAGATCTCCAGAGAGAGCTTTATAAGTGAGGGGTTTCATAAGCTCCTTTTCAGACCTGTTCCAGCTGCTTTATTGAGCTTTTCTTCCATGGCCCTTAAGGACAGTTTATAATTGTCAGATAGATTGGTTCCAGTTCCCAGAAAATGTGGAAGTCTGGTTAACTAGGGTGTCCGGTTAACCTTTTGTTCTTACAGCCTTCTGGAGGACTAAACGTGTGATGGCAAGACTAGCCCAGCTCTGTAAGTTTTTGTGAAAAACGCATCCTCTTCAGCCCATCTCATCGTATGGATGCTGCATGCGGGTTATGAAAGTTGCTGGTGTGCAGGTCTTAGCAGAGGTGGGATACAGGGCTATGGATGCAGCAGATGGATGAGCTCACCCTGGGTGTAATTCCTTTGGGCTCTGAAATATCTCCCTCCAGGGATAAATTTTTACCCTCTGTGCTTCTGGGACTGCCCAAGACTGGTGGTGCTTGTCAGAGCTGGTGGGCTTGTGGCGGTGCCCGGCTGGCAGGAGCTTTCACCTGTGGTGAGTGCAACCAAGAACAGGCAAATGTTGGCCCTGCCACTGAACTTTTGCCCCGGTTTGTTTAAACATAAGATGTGTGGAACAGGAGCTGCCTGGCCAACCCCTGCAGCCCAGAAAGCAGGCAAATTGTCTAGGCCAGGTACCAGGGCTATTTCTGCAGTCAGAGAGAGAGAGAGAGAGGAACACCCTGCTGATGGAGGTACTGCCCTCTCTCCATTTGACTTGTCTAATTTAGATGTCTCTTTTTTTTCCTTTTCTTGATAGCTAGAGTTAGTTGAGAATGAATAGTGCCTCTTAATCTTACTGGGGTTTAACGTTGTCCTAACAGTACGTGCCATTGCACAGGGTTTCCCTACTCTAATTTTGCAGCCAGCTCCTGGTGAACGTTGCAGAAGGAACATGCATCTCTCAAAGAAGGCATCACTGCAGGTGGCAGTAGCTGTAGCAAAGTCATGCAGAGGTGTTGCTAGGCCCTGCATTCAGATGCACTACAAACACTTGGCATCCTCCAGATGTCAGGGTAGTTTTAATTTAGACTGTTTTTCACGTGTTTGGGGGTTTTTCCCCTCTGTCATATGCCTTAGCTTAATTGTCATTAGGGACATGTTCCTGGTTTCCCCACCACAGAATATGCTTGATTTTATCTCCTCCTCCCCTGTAACATGGACCAAAGATAATTGCTTCCTCTCAAAAGTAAGAGAAAGGAGGTTTTGGGATGAAAGCATGGTATTGTGAAAGACGTGTATGAAATTTTATTATTCATAGCAATGATATCAAATGGAATTTTTGCAGGATTTGTTAAAAAAAAATTTTTACCCCCAAAAAGCATCTTAGGATGTATTAATGGTGTGACATTCAGGGCTACTGTGGAGGGATGAGATTCTCTCCTGGACTTGTCCTCTGCCTTTTTCTGGCAAAGGTACTGGAAACAAATGGAGTGCCTTGACTGTTTAAGAACACAGCTTGTTCTTGCTAAAATCCAGGGTGTATTTACGAACAGTTGTCCCATCTCCTCTTCCCTCTGGATGTCTGTCCTCTTTGTCAGTGAAAAATAGATCTAGAAAAAGTCATTAGGAACTGTGTGTTTATAACCTTTTGGGTAAAGGGAAGCACCCTGCATTTGAGAGGCAATGAGGTACCCTCTCATGCCATTTAGACATCAGGTCTTGAGTGTCTTTGCCCTGTGCAGCAGTGGGATACTGAGAGGAAAAAGCTCTCCTACTTGTGCACCAGCCCACATTCCTCTCTGTCAGCATCCCACGGGAAAGGGACGTCAGGGACATACACCTATAAGGGATTTCCTGTAGGGAGTAATGGGCATGTTGAAGGAGGAAGAATAAGAGTGCCCTTTTTAGCTCATATTTTCTAATTTTGGCTTGCTGTTCCGCCTCTGCATCCAGTTAACATCCCTGCCTCTGGTACTGTGTCTGCAGTGGGAATGGTGCCACAGGGAGAAACTAGTTAATGGCTGAAAATCACCTTGAGGTATATGGGAAAATCAGCTTGGGAGAGACCCCTGTGTGCTGCATTTCTCAGGACAGAGACACCACTAACGTGGCTTTGGGTAGGCATGGATGCAGGCAGCATATTTTCTTCTCCACTCTCAGACCTGGTTCATCTCATCATGAGAACCAGAGTCCTTTGCTTCTGTTTCCCACCTCTCTTATTGTTCCTCAGGTACTGGCATTTCTGGATTTGGGGTTTTTTTAATAGGTGAAATGGAAAAACAGTGTGAAGGGGAGGGTGAGAGCCAGAACAGCCATCTCCCCTCCTCAAATTACAGTTTGAGCAAGAGACAGGCACGTGTCCCTGTGCCTTATGCAGAGCATGAACAGCCAGCCCAGCCCCAGCTCTGGTGCCCCCAGGACCTGGTGGAGTGATTTCTTATGTCCAGAAAATCAGGTCTGGTGTTTCTTGGCTATCAGTCCTCCTTGTCCTCCTCTTCCTTCTCCCCTCCCAGAGTCCCAGTACGCCTTGGTGTATCTCATCTGTCTCATTGTAGTGACAGTGACAACTGTCAGAAATCACTCAAGTCTTCAGAAGTTGGAAAAATCTGGTTTATCCACAGCTTTAGTAGAAACCTCCTTCTTCAATGATTACGTGGTAGCAGGAGACCAAACATGATTTTCATGAAATTGAAACCAAACCCTCCGTTTTTCTCTCCTTCCCTCCACGCACTTCTTGCCCTTTGTTAAATCACGCCTTCATCTTCAAGCCATGCTGCTATAGTCCCATCTGGGTTCTGGCTGGACCTTGCCAGGTCCCAGGGAAGGCTCTCCTGGAAATCATGCTTATGGTGGGGGGCTGGGGAGGATGCTGCCTCTGCACTGCTTGGTGTGGGACATGGTCCGCTGATGATCCCGTCACCTGCTCTGAGGTGAGGTGTTATTATGTGATGAACATGGCCGTAGCAAATGTGGAAAGTGTTCTTGTACTTCTTACCTGGTGCCTTCTGCAGCAGGTTTTCTATGCAAGTAAAGAATTTACATCTCTTAAAAATATTTTTTGCTGTTTGTAACTCCTTTTCGTGTTATTGTACTTACTAAAGAACTAATACTTCATCTGCCAAGGACCACCACTGCTCCCCCCTACCCTGTGGACATGATGCACATGGACCCTGCACCCACTCTGGCTGCAGAGAGGAGCTCCCACTCCCTGCTGTGCCACCACAGGAGGTGACTTCTTGGGGACCCAGTGCTGCTGTGGGGCACTGGAACATCGTGGGCAGAGGGGCAGCAGGGGTCAGGGCAGCCTGACCCCCTTCTGTGGCCCAGCAGCCAACTCTGAAACACAGGAGAGGGGTTAAAACCTTCTTTTTTGCCTTTTTTTGTCCTTCGGGTTTTTTTCCTCCTCCCTTTTTATGGGGTGGCACATAATCAGATGTAGTCACCATTTCTTTTTCCCACTCTATGGCCTTGGTGCTTGAGCATTTGCCTTTTAAATAAACAAATAAATAACCCCCTATGTTACTGTGTGACTTTATTTTCTCTTTACTCATGGAAATACTGGAAACCCCAGTGTCAGACTGCTGCTGGCCATGCTGTGGTGTCGCTGTGGGGCAGAGCAATCCCTTGCTAAAGGTGGGCTCGGGAGCTGCTGGAATGTGCAGTGCAGTGCAGTGGTGGGCTCCAGCTGTGCACAGCTGTTGTCTTCTGTGTGACTGTGGCTGGAAGAGCTCCTGATGTACACTGCCATCAAGGCTCTACCTGTAATCCAGCAGCATTCAGGGTGGAAGGGAAGGAATAGGGGTTGCACATTTCTAGGGAAGCACTGGTAACGCAGCTGGAGATGGCACTTCCTCCAAAAATGCTTGAAAATCCCCAGAAGAGGTGGCATAGGAAGAAATGTGTGGAAAATGGTGTTTGGGGAGACTGTGCCAGGTTTGCTCTTTCTGTGCTCTAAAGACAAGAAAAGGTGCATGCCAGTACATTCTCCAGATGGTTAGCTGGGAGGGAGAGAGAATCACCCAGGAGGGATTTGCTTGAAGTGTTCCTTGAGCTGCACAGGAGCCCGTGGTGCAGTGAGGTCCCTGGGAAGTCCCATGGAGGACCACAGCTCTCCTGGCCCCTGCCCCGGGCTCACACCCATCGCTGTCTGAAGCTGGCACCATCACAAGCTCTGATCCTTAGCAGGGGTGGGTTTGGAGCCACCCCAGTGTGGCGATATCACACAACCCAGTCACACAGTCAGTTTTAACAATCTTTATTGAATCACAATTAACTGCAATCAATGCAACTGTGCCCTTTTAAGTCAGGCTAATTCCTTAGCTTAATGGTATTTCTGCTCTTTACTTTGAAAGTACTATCCAGCAATCAAGGAGGCAAGAAGTGCCTGAGACACCCAGCGATGCGACGCGTTTAAGCAAGGCCACTGTTGGCACCCCACCGAGGCACCGATCCTACTCGATGATGGTGATGCCCTTCTCTGTAGAGATCCCTTTGATCTGGTTTGAGGTCAGCTTGGCTACTATTTTCTTCTCTCCTAGTCTTGTCGGAGTGCATATTACTTCAGACTTCATGATCCTGCCAGGCATTATATCCCTAAGGACAAAGAGAAAACAAATAATCTCAGCATGAGTAAGGGTTCTTTTTTGCTGCTTTTGAATAATTTCACTTAAAGAAATAGGCGGTGTGTGTGTTTACTGGGGGTGTTTCCCTTCTGTCGTGACCACCGAGCAGTAAGTGGGGTGTGGCATGGTGGCACTGGCTGGTGATTCCCTGTTGATCCTGGGGACTTTCCCCAGAGTTAGTTCCCCCTTCTGCTGCGTGGACTGTGGCCAAACGTGGTGCAGTTTCAAAGACAGCTGGCAAAGGGCCCTCTTACTCCAAATCCCCTAACCACTTCTCCAAGGGAAATTAAAGAAAAGAAGCAAAGCAGAGTCCTGCCATGGTCATTTAAAGCACTCATCTCCTTACCCCTGATCAAACGTTGTCATCTTAAATATGCCCAAGCCCTCCACCAGCAGCTTGCAGTTTTCCAGGGCCACGTTCAGCTTGTTCTTGAAGATGAAGGCACAGGTGAAGTCGTTGTTCAGTTTGGCTATTTCTGGCATCTGGCAGAGGAAAGAGAGAAACAAACCCAAAGACCAGGGATCAGAGGGGTAATAAAGGTGCCAGAGCTGCTGCAGGTTTGGTCCTCACCACCAGCATGGTGTGGGACAACTCCTTCCACCCTCCCATCCTTTCCACTCTCCCATGGTACTGTGTTTTCCCAGCTGGTTTCTCTCTGATTTCCCAACATGTTTTTCCTTCAGAAAATGGGATTGGAGATGGGCTCTGTACAAACTATCCTCTTCCATCTCCTTCCCTCCAGCAGCCCCTTCCTTCCCATTTTAGATGGGGCAATAAAATTTTCATTTAATGGCTGCTTTCAACCTTCAAATCAGGGTTGAATACCCAAATAAAATGCCGAGGACTGAACATCACAGGAGGCAGGAGGCTGTTCGGGATATCCTCCCATGAATGCCACACTGAGCAGGGCTTAGTCCCCCAGGAGCCTGCCTGGCGCCTGCCTCACCTGCACAGTGATGGGGGGGTACTCAAATCTCATCGACGTCTCCTTGGTGAGTTTGTCATTTGTTTCCTTGACCTCAGCAATGGCGGTGACAAGGATGAGCACTTCGTCGTCCACTGAGGCCAATGTCTTCATATACGCGTCAGGTGCTATTTTCAGAGGGATCTGCCTTTCTGCAGGAAAGAAAACACAACTTGATGCTTCATCACATGCTTTGGAATTGGGTGGCAAAGACAGCTCTGGTGGCAGGTGTCCCAGGGTGTGGGAGGAGCTGTATTTCCTGAGACCATCCTGCTCTCCCTTCAGGGTGTAGTCCCTGTTGGGGGAAGCCCTGGCTGGGTGGGCAGTACCTGGCACATGCAGCCCAGGGGAGGGGTGGCTGAGTCTGTACCACCTCTCTGCCCAGATGAGCACTGGCTCAGGCTCACATCCAGCATCTCAGCAGCCCTCATCCCCAGCTGACCCAGCACTCAGGAGGAGGCAGAGGAGCAGGAGGTTAGGTACATCTAAACCTGTGTCCCCTGGGGTTTCTCTGAGGCGCTGCTTGCTATGAAATTGCTGGCTTTCATTTCAAATTTTATCCTTAATTGCCTCGACAAGCTTCCAGTGGCTCAGAAAAGCCCTGAAGTCAGCAGTGCTGGTGTCTGAGCACTGCTGTAGCTGCAAAGCTTCCTGGCTTCTTGGAATAAAAATGCCTATCCATTCCCTATATGTATGTATGTATGTATGTATGTACATATATTTGTATGTAGCTACCTTTTGTGTCCTACCCTGCTGCATTTTGACAGCCACTGTATATGTGTTAAGACACTCAGCACTCACAAACAGCAAAGATTTTTTTTTTTTTTGCAAGAGTGACTCATGCTTGGAATGAGCAAAGGGTTGTTAATTATTCATCACTCAGTTAGTCTCTTGTTTAGCAAATTTCAGTTACACTGCTGGGGATCAAAAATGCAACCCAGGTCACTCAAAGATACACAACGCACAGGAGCAAACAGCTCTTGGGATCAGCCAGGCAGGCAGTCAGGAGGCGGAAATTTGCTTGGGCAAAGAATTCAGAAAATAACACTCACCAGCATCACCACCACCAAGATTAGAGTGGTAAACACAAGAACAAAACAAGGCTGAATTTTCCAGGTATCTAAATCCTGTGAGGGATCTAATCCACCAAAGCCTGTGGTGGCATCTTTGATGTTTGCACAGTAAGGACAGGAGGGAGATGCTCCAGCAGATTTCACTCACACCATGGAAAACCTCTGTCTGCCCACACTGATGTATTTCTAACCACCTCACTGAAGCTGCAGCAGGGACAGGGCCTTCATGTTTTAGTCCCTGCTACAGAGAGATCCCAGTCTGTAACTGAGGCTTCCAAATGCAGTAACAAGGGGAGGAGGTAGCAGGCAGGCAATTTATGCTCTTCACAAAGTACAGAGTCATGCACTGGTCTGTAGTGGAGCTATTACAAATCCCAGAGTGCCACAGTAAATACTACACAAAACACAGCAAGCTTTCTGGGCTTACCAGATCCGCCTTCAAGATTGATGGTCTCCTTGATAGTTCCAAGGTTGGCCTGAACTTTTCCAGTATAGTACTGCAGCTGGCAAGAGCCAGCAAGATCAATGGTCCAGTTCCCAGGAGTAGAGGCCTTCACTGTGATGGCCATTTCAAGGGGATTGCCAGGATGCAAGGCTTCCGTGTTGGTTATCTCAAGGCGGAGCCCAGTCTTGGTGACTGTTTCATGCAGGACCACAGGCTTGCCTACTGTCCTACTATGTTCCGCCACAGTTGAAGCGTAGCCTGAACGAGGAACCAGTCCCGAAGGGCGTATGAAGCTGCAAGCTCTTTCCATGGACTTCCTTTCCTCTTTGGAGCCTGGATAAAGAGAAAATATGGATGACATCGGTTATCTCAGTCTCCTCATGCAGAGCCATCTTCCCTTTATTTATGCTTCTGTTGCTAAGCAGAGAGGATGGAGGATGTCAGGGCACCTCCAGCCTCTGCTCAGGAGACCTTCCTATTTACACCACCACCAAATCCAACTGTAGAATTTTGGACTAGAAGAATTTGCTGAAAGAGACACTTCTGGAGGATAGATGCTCCTAAATTTTTCAGCCTGATATTTTTGTCCTCCTCACTGGAAAGGGTTTAATAATCTAGGACAACATGGCTGGATCTGATAACTGTCGGGAGGAAACATGGGATTTTTTGTTTCCAATATGGTGTGGGGAAAGGAAAAACGAAAAAGAACAAAGAAATAAAGCAAATTATTGCTAGCCTGATGACTAGGTTCATCACTCAGCCCATTTCTTTCATTGCCTGCTAAGTTGCTTGTCCCTAAAGAGCAGCCTACAGGTGTCACTGTGGGCACGAGGATGCCCAGGATAAGTGCTGCCTCCCGAGGGTCTCCAGGTCTTACACCAGGTTTGCCACTGCAGCTACTCTTGCAGTTTTCTCCTGAGACAACACGTGTTGAGGGTGACCTGCATGGTCAGGGGTCTCCTCTTTGGCACTACATTAGAGGACTGGGGCAGTCACCTTCAGGGTACTTGTACTCCAAGGTGATGTCTTCCCGCTTGTTCTGCCCCACGGCTTTTGTGCTGATGTTTCTGCCGATGTCCTGGGTCTCCGTAGTAACCCTGATGTACTTATCCTTGCCGTTCACCTTCTTGACCATCCAGTAGACTTTGTCAGCATTCACCTCTGCATACACAAACTTGCCATCGTAGGGCAAATACACATCTCCTTCTCGGACAGCCTTCACCGGGCACGGACCACACTGGAAAGCACCTAGAAAGTGCATTCAATACCAGCTGATTTTCCAAAAACGAGCAGTGAATCCAACTTTTATTCCACTCTCAGACACACTCAAGCAGGAATCTGTGGCCATGGTAGTTGACACTTAGCCAGTAAATAGTCCTCCAACTCCAATGAACTCCAAAAGCTTTTATTCATCCCACAGCTGCTTGGGCTTTTTTATAGATGGCCAATGTCTGGTAAGAGGTTTTATGTGTTTCCCCTCACTTATATAATTTAAGGTTAGAAACTCACAGCTGAGTACAGACACCTGTGTTTGAACTCCTGGCAACATTCCACTTTCTGCACTGCCTTGAGGATTAATGTTTTGGGGTTTTTTCCGCTTTCAAATTCCCTGAATCTGTGCAGGGGAGGTAGTCACCAATTTTGATGGTCACTCCTCCCATCTACCAATGAACCTTATGACCTCCATGACTCAGGTGTGCTCTAACCTCTGAAATGACATGCATGTCCCCACAGCATTCTACAAAGTTGTTTTTCTGCCTGCCAAGAAATGCTGTTCCTCCCATCCTGGCCTGAGATGGAAGGAGTGAGATCTCCTGCTTTAGGATGTCACTGCCCCAGCGTGTGAAGATGTGCATGGGGACTACGTGCTTCGCTGAATGGGGAGCGTGGCTTTCACACAAAATGTCCCTGCCTCCCTCAGGAGTTGCAGAAGAGCCTTTCTAGGCAAATCCTACCTTGACTTTGCTCCTGAGGGGTTGAATCAATTGCCTGCCAGCCATCAAACCCATCTGGCAGGTCTGTCCGCTTCATCCAGACATCATTCCATACGTGGAAGTTCCTGCATGCATATGGGTTGGAAAGAAAAGGAGTGAGCTGTTACAGCCTTAAGAGTCATGATCCCCTCCCTTAATCCTTTAGTAAGGGCAGATTTAATAGGTATTTGTGTGTAACCCTGTGAAACCCCAGGCTTTCTCTCTCTCCTGCCATAGGGGAGATTATCAGAGGAATTGCTGGGTGTGGGAAATGGGGCACTGCAAGGTGGTAGGAAGCATTAACCCCATTTGGCAGTACCAGACAGAGTCGAGAGACATCCAGTTCAGCTTCTCTCCTGCTTCATTCAAATAAATGTCAACTCTCAGGTTCTCCTCCGTATCGTGTGCTGAGTTGAAGGTACTCACGCAGCGGGATGGGACTCCCAAGCAACGCATGACTGCAGCACAGAGCGACAAAACACAGGAACACAAAATCACTCAGGTTAGTGGGCACCTTTGGGGATCATCTCGTCTGACCCTCTGCCCACACAGGGTCTGCTAGAGGAGGTGCCCAGGACTGTGTCCAGATGGCTTTTGAGTATCTTCAAGGATGTAGATTCCATAACCTCTCTGGACAACCCATGCCAGTGCTTGGTCACCCTCACAGTATGAAAAAATCTACTTTCCCATGTTCAGACAGAACCTCCCATGTTTCAGATTATGCCTATCACCTCTGGTTTTTTCACTGGGCATCACTGAGAAGAGCCTGTCTGTGCTCCACTCCCTCCTGTCAGGTATTTATACAGAAGGAGAAGACCCCCAGAACCCTCTCTTCTCCAGGCTAAGCAGTCCTGGCTTTCTCAGCCTCTCCTTACATGACAGACCCTGCTGCCTCTGCTGCTCAGAGGCACAGTAATTTGGTTTACTAGCACAGAAATCAGGATGTTAGAGAAGGGAGACAGTTCACTGTTTACCTGTATTGAGGACTCCTGCGAAGACCCAGCATTGGCCATAACTGATCGGCTTCTTAGTTTTGTAATAGTTCTGCAAAATTGTGACACTCCCGATCCAATCCATGGGGGCCGTCCCTCCTCTGTAATTCCCTGACCAGTTCCCCAGCAGGACGCCGCTGTCATCATTGGCATTAACCTGTGGTCACATACACATGCAAAGGAGAAAAATAAAGGGATGAGGCTGAATGAGGCTTAAATCTCTGGGGTCTCTGCCCACTCTGTGTCTTCCCAGGTGTTCCACAGCCCTGTGGCACCCAGCAAGGCTGCTGGTGCTCTCTGGGGGTTCCCCTGGTCGGAAACCCTCTATCTGGGTATTTAAGAGGGAGGTGGCACTGCTGCTTGGGGTAGTCAAAATTAGCGCTGCAAGCTTTGGAGATGGGAAGGTATTGTATTTTGTCCACCTCTTCCCTCAACCCAAAATGCCTCTGGCTCTTTCCTTGCAGTTTCCCAAAGAAATCCATTTCAGATGCTTCCTGAAATGGTGTTCATGGTCCCAGGGAAAGAAGAGTAACTAAGAAGGGAGTGCTGGAGGGGCAAAACACTTCACCGAGAGAGGCTTACCAAAGCAGACATGGCTCTGGACACATATGAAGGATCCCTTCTGTGGGACAGGCTGAGTTTGCTTTTGTCCAGTAGATACATGCAGGCATCCAAGATGAATTCCTCAAACTGTTTTAGGGAGAAAATGGAGGCATTTTTATATGCTGCTCTAAACCAGAATTTACTTGTCAGTATATAGCTAATACTTGAGGGAAACTGCCTGACAAGCTCTAACTTCTAAACTTCTTTCATGATATTAAGTTTTCAAAGCTATGGGGCTTCCCAAAGCTGTCCTCTCCAAAGAAGGACTAAAATGAAATCCCACCTTGGAAGACAAAACCCTGTCTCATGTATCTTGTAAACACCTTTGGAACCCGACACAGAAATCTTTACTTCTGTGAGTACTACTAAGTCACCAACGTCATATACCTGCAACTCTGCAAATTAATCACAAGAGTAATGAAAATTTAAGACCACTACAAATATTCAGTCTATTGACATAGGTACAAAATGAACCTTGGAAAAAAGAAAGGTACGTAAATGCAGATTATTACAGGAAAGATTCCTAATTAGCAATTGGTGATAAGGCTCCCTGAGGTCCAATTCACGGAGATGTCAAACATCCGATCCAGCAGAATAAATATTAGGATAGGAACAGCCCTACGGATGATGCCCTTTGGCCCCTTTTGTGTAAAGGCATCAGTGAGAGCACGTTTGTTGGGCTATCTGTATGCTGCAGCTTGAAATTGTAGACTTCTAAAACAAACCAAAAAAATTAAAACAAAAATAAAACCAGAAAACAGATTCCAACATCTTTTTGTGGGGAGTTCTGTCTGGATAGGGTGCAGGATACTCCGTTTGGGTGCCTGTGTGTTTTCTACAGGATGCCAATAAATCTGCTCTGGCATCCACCTCTTATCTCTAACCCAAGTCAATTTGACATTCCACTCCTCTGGAGTTATCTCACAGGCAGTGTGAAGGAACACCCTTCCTGAGAAAGTGGGTGATTGTGTCCTGGACCCAGCCATCAGTGAAGGCACCACTACAAAGGTGATAACCTCTGCCGGTATTTCTACCCTTTTTATTCCTGTTCATGATGATGCAACAGGTAAATAATCAGGCTTTTTTCCCCTGTCAGCCCCCTCCATGGCTCATGAGCTGGTTACCAACAGCTACAGCTGCATGAGAGCAGGAATTCCCTTAAGGGAATTTTTTCAACTGTCCCGAGTTTCAACATCCTTTGCCAGGGATCACATGATCTGACTATAAATGTGCTATTAAACCCCATTCTCCAGCTGTGGGTAGGTTACTCCAACCAGCTGAGCCCTCCCAGTGGAGGTGGCAGGACCATTCCAGCACTTTTTGCCACTCACAGGCTTAGACTGTTTATAAGTCTGATTCACTGAAACAAATGCCCAAGGGGCAAATAAGGGTAAAATAGGGACGACAAGACAGCTGTGTTTTACCTGCCCAAAATTCCAGGGCCTATCATATATGCTGTATGCAGACCCAACATAGATGTAGCCTGTGTCGTTGAGCACATACTCCTTTCTCTTTGCCTCATCAGCCATGAAGACGGTGTCATCTGGAAAAAAAAACAACCCTCAGAGGTTAGGTGGTTTGCACACATTATACAAAATTTCCCACAGAAAGCTAAATTGGGGGAATCAATGGTCTGCAATATTCACACCAAGTTATGACCACGTAGCACTCACATTTTTTTGGTTCCTATTGTGGAAGAATTTCCTGTAAGATTAACCTTTATTTTCCCCCTGTAGGTCTATTGCAACATGACCACTCTTTTATTATAGCAGAAAGCTCATTTCTGAACAATGTAGTGAACTAGGTAGACAGCAGAGAGAACTGGGAAACTGGCAGCAGTAATTATCACCCCCAGCTGCAGGACCCCTCACCTTTACACCAGGGATTGAACAAGAGGTAGATGACACCATTTTCAGGCTTGTAAATGTTACTCCCAGTCTTCACGTGCAGGGTGTATTTTCCCACGGGGGCATTGGGTGCGCTGGTGACAGACAGCAGGCACTGAGGAGGCAACAAGGAGAGACGGCATGAGGGACACTCCACACTGGCTACAGGCACGGCACAGACATGGTGCCACAGGACCAGCATGAGAGGCAAAGCTGGTGGCCATGGAGGTCTGTGCAGGGAGGGAGGAGAAGGCAGTGGGATGGGGCAAATCCTGCCCACACATGGGGGGGAAAATGAACTAGGCAGGGCAAGGCTACTGCCCACCTAAAATTATAGGACTAAGGGAAAGCAGGACAGGGGTATGAGGATGATTTGCTCTGTAGCTTCTGGTGGGCTTGGTACTGGGCATTGAGCCTCTTGTCCACAGGCTCTACCTCTTTGCCGTTCTTCTTGACAATGGAGATTTTCCACCCATTGAAATCCAGCTCCTTCTCCGGTTTCAGCGACATCAGGCTCCCCCTGATTTTTGCTGGATTTTCACCTGGAAACAAATTCAAGACAATATGTGGGAGGGTTGCACAGGTCTGCAGTGCCTGCGCAGTGCCAGGATCAGGCAGCTGGAGGCTCCCACAGGGCTCTCCGTCTGTGCTCGATGCGCAGAGGGGATCCTACTCACCGATGCCAAAACGCAGCGACAGCTTGTCGCCAGCCCTCAGCTCCCTGTTGAGGCTGACCTGCACCTGGAAGGGCTGCCCGCGCCGCACCACCAGGTTCTTGATGTTGTACCCATCTGTGTGGTGCTCGCGGGTGTTCTGGCTCTTGAGAAGGTCAATCCCAGTGGCCTTCAGACCAGCCTCTGCAAAGATTTTAGCAGAAAAGGAGAGAGAGGGAGAGAAAAAAAAAGAGATTGATGGTAATTGCTCAGTGAAGTTTTCTTCTTCTTATTGCAGCCCTGTGAGTTATCAAACCATCTAGAGAGCCCAGTGATCCAGCACAAGAAATCACGTTGAGTATCACCATAACTAATGGATTATCAAATAATAATTAACAGTAGCTTTTACTGCTCCTCACAAGATGTAGCACACTCAGTCAAAGCAGGGAGTAAACAGAATGTGCCAAAATTCAGCTCCTCTCAATTGTTGAGATCCCCAGTGTCTCTGGGATGCCAAGGGCCGAGGAAGTGGGACTCTTCAGGACACTGAAGCTGATTCTTTATATTTTCCCCTCAAAAATTAGTCCCAAATAATATCACAACAGTCATCACTCAACCTCCTATGGAAATCTGCATATGTGAATATTTGCAAGGTTTGTTTTCTTTTTCCATGGACTTGGTTTCTTCTACAACCTGAGGAACCAAAGGAAACTTGGAAGCTAGCTGTGCTGCAGATATGCTGTTTGCCTAGTGGAATGCTAAAATGTGGGGGGGCAAAGCACCATAAATTATAGCATAGTATAATAATGTATAATATATTTAATATAACATCAAATATAAAAAAAATATATTAATATTCTTTACTGTGAGGGTGGTGAGGTACTGGAACAGGTTGTCCAGAGAAGTTGTTGATGCCCTATCCCTGAAAGTGTTCAAGGTCAGGTTGGATGGACTCTGAGGAACCTAGACTAGTGGAAAGGTGTCCCTGTCCATGGCAAGCTGGTGAGAACTATATGAACTTTTAGGTCTCTTCCAACCCAAGCCATTCTATGATTCTACCATAATATAAAATAACTAGTATAAACCAATATAAAATAATATAAATACCCAGAGGTCAACCTCAGACACCCTGGGCAGCGCAGTAGGGAATCAGAGTCATGCTGCAGCAGTCCAGGGCTAAACAGCAGGAGGTCAAGGCAGGAGACTGTTCCTACTCCAGGCAGATTGCTGCAGCACACTCACCACAGGCCACTGCCCCCTTTCATGGTAACTGGTGCTTTTCCCATTTGACTTCAGCATAGATTTGGACTCCAGCAAGAATCCCTTGCAAGTGCCTCGCTCCCACTCATTCTCAACAGACCTGCTGATTTTGTAAGACATATAACATTTAAAATCACTGTCTCCTCAGCTGCCCTTTACTCCTGCAACTCTGGACAGGAGCAGGGCTGGGAAAAGCCTCAGCAACTCTGCCCAGCAGCTCATGGCTCAGGGCTGTGGTGTAGGAGTGGAGCTCTGAGAGGCACAACCCAGCGATACACTTGAGCAAAGAGAAAGCCCTCAGCTTTCGGTGGTGATGAAAATTTGGGGGTCACTGCATCAGGCTTTGGCAGGCTGCCCTGGTATGACAGGGAAAGCCAGAGCATGCTGGAATGTCGCTGAGCTGTATTTCTTCGGGAGCATTTTACCTATCTTGGACCTGCCCATTAAATATCCTCAAAGGATAAATTCCGTGTGAACAGTAGGGAGTAACAATACCTCATAAGCACTTGTCTCATGAGTGATTCAGATGAAGACATGGGAGAGGCAAAAACGGCTTACGGTAACTTAGAAGTTAGCAAGTCAAAGGCATAATGGTTGAAGGGATTAATTCACCAAATGTCTTGACAGATTTGCATGATACCAGGCAACCATGCTAACTTGAGTATCAACAAGAGCCATCCCTAACACTGAAGAGTCTGAAATCTGCTGGTATCTGCTGTGGCACGAGAGATGCCACATGCAGGGTTGGACCCAGGGCAGGCTGAAATCAGTGTCACACTTCCTACTGGGACCTGTGCTGGGCAGCAACTGCAGCCTTGAGTAAACTGAACTGACTAGATTACTACCTCCATGTATTTTTTCTTAGTAACTATATAAACCATATTTATCTTAATTACATTACAGATATCAGTGCCACAGCAAATAGACTTAAAATTGACCAGTACCTTTTGTTAACTGATACAGCTTTCAAGTGCTTTTTGTTTGCTTGCTGCATGCCAGTTGCCGACCTTGGGCTGATGTTTTGCGCAATGGGGTGTGCGAGCGTTTATGTCAAAAAATTTCATCTGGAACTAGCTGCATAATCCTCTTGAGGATGAAGAGGAAGTGTATCTTTCTTAGCATTAAGAAATCTCCAAACACTAAAGCTGCTCAGCCTTGTTCTTTATGGAATCCCTACTGCTGTGATGAGAAGATATCAGAAAACAGCCCTGGTGATGAGAGAGGGCTATGAAGAGATGTGGGACTTGAATGTATAGGATGGCCATGGAAAAGTGCTCTGGGAAATCCATCCTTCCAGCATCTCTTAACTCAGGAATTGCATTTCCATCCCCTGTTTCTGGACATCACCAATGTTGAGGATGCACAGAGAAAATCTGCAGACAACAGCTGCCTTGGAATATGGCCTGACAATGCTGTGCAGTGCCAAAGACCTGTCTCCACTCAGCACTGCCCATCAATTGCACTGCATTTATTCCTGTCCAAACATCACCATGATACCCTGTGATCTGACTGGTACGGTGTCCTGTGCCAAGGAATGCCTCAGAGCGAGCCAGTGGCGCACCCATCACCACATCTGAGGGGGCTTGGCCGCAGCCTGTCTTCACTGGGCAACCCACAACCCGCTGCTTTCAGCTTCCTGCTCTGCTCCCTGGCCAGGTCATGGAGCTGGGCATCTGCACACCCCGAGTCCAGCTGCCTGCAGGCACCTCCATTTGCCAACAAGGAAATTAATGATTTACAGCAGAGCTGAACGTGCCAAGAATGCGCCCGCTCACGGGATGGAGGCTTGAGCTGCAAGAGGCAGTCCTGTCTGCGCTCGCTCCTGGGGCAGTCCAGAAGCAAACCTAAACCCCAAATGCTGTCAGATTTTTTTTTTTTTTTTTAATGGAAGAAATTTCAAGGCAGTGTTTTTATCTCCTAGTTCAATGATTTTATCTCCTAGTTCAATGATTTGTCACTTAACAGAGCTTGTTCCTACACTAACCCCTCTGGTCCCATTGCATTGCTACCTGCCTGGAGAAAGGTTCAGAGCTTCAAGAGCACAGTGATCAACCAGAACAAAACTGGGGACATGAGGACTTGGCACTGGTAAGGATCTGGGACAGATGATGAGGTGATGGGGTTTAAAAAGAAATATTAATAAGGAGTAGAACATTTATAGTAGGCATGGTTTCAGTAGGAACAATGGCTGCTCAGAAGGACAGGAAAGAAATGGGATGAGGAGTGTAGTTTTTCAAGAAAGAACAAAATTTGGATACCCACATTAACTCCCGATCCTTGCCCAGCCTCCAGGTAAATGCTCTCCCATCCCAGAGATGTGAGATCACATCCCAAGGATGCTGCTGTCCAAGACTTCCTGAAAAATTTCAGCTCATACACAGGGTACAGAGGTGTGAAACTAAGGGGCTCGGAGTGGTGTCAGGACAACCTTCCCCTCCTGAAGGCTGTGGAGCCATGCTCCCAACTCTGCTGCAGGCACTACCCAGCCTGCATGTGCAGCTGCTCAGCTACATCCCAAACCCCAAGGATTTTGGACACCCTGGCGTTGGGCTTGCCAGTAGTGGTGGTCCAGCAGCTAAACAGGAGTGACCCAGGCACCTTCCTAGGTGGGTTCAGGGCAGGCAGGACAGCCACGAGATGGAGCTCAGGGCCAAATAAATCCTCTTTTCAGTTATTTTAAAGCTTCTGTCAGATGCTATCAGCTGTCACTAAAGAGCAATAATCTGCATGATTAAGTAACCTGAAATAAGAGAAATTCTTTTAACCTAGACATGGAACAAGTTTAAAAGAGCTGCATTTCTTTCCCATCATTGACAGAACCAGATGCCTAGGCGCTGATGAAAAGTGATGAAAAATGGGTCGCATTATTTAGTTGTTTTACCGATCTGTCAAAACCAGAATTTGCACAGCCAGAGCAAACTGATCCCCCATGGGCAGTGGTGACACCAAAACTCCTTTCCCCAAGGTGTCACCCATGGCAGTCAGAGGGGTGAGAATCTCTAGAGCTGCCATCCTCCTTGCAGTAGACTTGCCAAACCACACATCTAACATATCATATCACGCATTAAAAACTCACCACCAAAGCTGCTCATGGTTCTTGTCAGAGTTTCTACCCGAGATGCCTGCGATGCCAGCAGCTTCCAAGCTCCTGAGTAGTCTCTGTCGCTTGCTTCTGACTGAGGAGAAGGAAGACAGGCTGCCCTTTTTATCTGTGTCTTGCTCTGAGGTGTCAGCAGGTCCACTGCCAAGGGGTGGTGTTTAGAGAAAGGAAGTTCCCATGGAAAAAAAAAATGACTACAACTCCCTCTGCACATAGTCAGACACTGAAAAACAGCGAAACTTAAATCCCGACTCACATGGAAGGTGATTTGCACAATCAGATGACAAGTGGACAGACCCTTCACTGACAAACAGTAAAATCATGGGCTAGATGAGTAACAAGAATTCACCTATGCCCTAACATCCAGGTCACTAGGACTGCAGCTCCAAGACTAACTTTACAAGGAAGCCCACAAACATTTAATCCTTAGGAAAACAGAGTTCCCCATTAGGACCAGTCTAACTTTCTTTGAAATTAATGAGATTTTTGTCATCACATTTGGGACAGAAGTTCTTGAAGCTGTGGGCTAAAATCCAGAATTTACACATATGTGTTGGAAAGCCCAAGGATCCTGGCACTGGTCCCCTCCCCATGGCTTGAGGTGGGTATCAAGGGAGATAGCCATGGAGCACTGAGTGGGAAAGAGGAAAAGCACACTCTGTCCAGGAGGGGAAAGAAATGTGATGGAACAGGAGCTGTTTGTTGGCTGCTCTTTGCTGACAGCAGTATCAAACAAAGGTCTCTGCCCAGGAGGTGGTTGGACCCCACATGCCCCACTGCCACCACGGTCCTTGGGGAGACTGAGGATGGAAAAATGAGTTTACCCCATGAAGAGCAGAGCTGATGGTATACAGGCCAACAGCGACATGGGCACAATGAGATGACAATGAGATACAAACATGTCTCCAGATACCTAGAAATGTAGAGGTTGTTCGACTGTGGGAGCAGCCTCAGCCCCCTGATGCCTCTGTTTATGGCAGCAGTACAATGTCCAGCAAGGTAGATTCCATCTGCAAGGCTGCCACATCTACAAGTAGGATGTCCCTAAACATGATCTGCCTGTGGAAGCCTTCAAAGGCACTGACTTTTCTCCATCAGTTCGGGTCACTCAGTATTTCCTCTGGGAGGACTGTTCCATTTGGTGCAAGCTAGGAGCTGAGTTAGCAGATGCCACCCTTCGAGCATGTCACTGCTTGCTGGCAAGTGTATGTTGGGTGTCCTTACCCGAGAGCATGACTAGCGCATCGCAGGGCACCGAGGGTTCAGTACACATCTATAATCTCGCAGGGCATCTGCAAGAACATCTGAAACACCGATGTTCTTAGTAGACGGACCATCACTCACCATTCAGCATCAGACAATGTGCTGGCAACTACATATTTCACTATTGACAAAAACACTCCAACCCCGATTTACCTTTCAGCGTTGCTTTTACTCTGCACTTCCTTCCTCCTGGAGGGTGAAAGACATTTTTGTTTAGAAGCAGTATGGGATGAAGTAAAGTATACGTGGAATGTCAGTACAATAACATAACCAATAACGCATGTAATCTGAATATTTATGATGTGTCTTACTGAATTGCAGGAACAGAGTAATCCACTTCATCTGAAGTCACAGACAGTACCTTCCTAATCCAGTCTCAACCTGTTTTATATATCATTTTATGCTTGGTTGGAGGCATCTTAAATTGTGTTGACACAATAGTCCTGCAGCAAAAACTACAGATTTTTGCAAACAGGAACAAATTGATGTCAGTAATATTTTGCTCCTGAAGAAAATTTTGTTAGATGTGTGCTGAAGGGTGAGCAGAAGAGGTAGGACATGTATTCACCAGGGACAGTCATACTACGGTTTTGCAAAAGGCTGATTTCAACAGAGTGCATGTTCTGACCCTCACTTTGAACCTCAGAGATCAAGGAAAGATTGTAGAAGTTACGTGGGTGTGGGTTCTGCCCTGCCATGAACCTACTCCATCTTGGAAGGTGGCTGACATTGTTTTTGTTTTTATCAGCAGACTAACACCTACCTTTCAGTTCTCCTTCCACTTTGTGCAGCTGCTGGTCTTGCCTTTATCTCTGCCATTATCTTTTTCTGTGCACTAGTAGTATCTCAATTCAACAAAACTAAACTTGGCATACGGTTCTGCACTCCCATACAACCTTCTGCCCTTGGCTCGTACAAGCTTGCCCTGCCAGAAAAAGCCATTGAACTCTAATACTCTCCAAGACAGTTGTTGGCAAGGTCCAAGAAAATGAATTTCAACTTAAACTACAGGAATGTTTTTAAAAGACATGGTTTCAACTTCTTTGATGTTGTCAGCAGGTGCTCTCTATCTTCTTACAGGCAAATATCCTCTTGTCTTTGCTGGTCAGAGGGCTGGCTGTGGTTCAGCACTGTGGCTCTTTTCTTCCTCCTTGGTGAAGCAATGAAAAATAACCACCCCTTATTAATTTCTTTCTTCAAATTTTTTTTTCTCACAAAAAGAAGTTGTAAGTTAATCGTTTCAATCTGTCTCATAACAGTACACTCTTACTTAAAAGAAGTAGATTTTTTTTTTTCTGCAGGCAATCTTCCTATTACCAGCAATTTCAGCAACTCACTTCCCAGCTTGCAAAATCAGACAGCAGAGGCAATCAGCCTTATCTGCATCTATCTGTTGCAAGGTCACCTTATTAGCTGGAATAAGAAGGTAATAAAAGGAAAACAAATAAAATAGAATTCACCAGTGGCTGCTCCCCTATTTACAAGCTTGTCCTTTGTCTCAGGTTTTGTTTATTTTGTGTATCAAAAATGACAAAACAAGTCAAACTTCCAGAGCATGACCACAAGTATTGATGCCAAGTAGGAAAGACATAAGTGCAGCCCAATACTTAGCTTTATATTTTTATGAATTTGCAACCCCATGTCCAGTTATAGAGAAGTTGCCTTTTATAATAGCAATGTATGGACCTACATTTTCTATAAACATCAAGTTGCTTCTGTTTTGTCAGGGTTTTTTTGGTGGTTTTTTTTTTTTTTTTTTTTCAGTGTCCAGTCAGAGGAGCACTCAAAATAAAACACAGATCAAAAGCACCACAGTTTTCCTTTCTGGCACTCTGGAAGGGTGAACTCGTCCTCCCAGCCTCTCCATGGAGTTGCTCTGAGGGGTCAGAAAGTGAGCAGTGCATCTGGCAAGGTACACTCAGACACAGCCCCTGTCCTGAGGGGCACCATGGTGAGGAGATGTCTTCCACAACTGCTCCTACAGGACTGCTCCTACATGTATCATCTAGTATGTGTTGAGTCCTCCCTGAATCACAGCCTAGGGACCGATAAGTAATTAGGAGTCTTGGGGGAATAAAAAGAATAAAAAAAGCACAGATGAGGAACAGCTGAGGATCTGGTCCATCTCTTTTGAGCTAAGTGCTACGTTGGTCCTTCCCTCATAATTTCATTAAGCTTGTATCTCATTCTTTAGGAATGTCCTAGTATAGGGACACATCACGTCTACCTAATGATCCTGACATGCCAGTGCTGCTGTTACTCTGAAAGGAGCATCGATTTGATCACTTCTCACTCATGTACAGCAACCATGGGCCATGACGGTGGCCTGGGCCTCCAGGGCATCCCGTGTACCCAGCAGGCAGATTCTCTTCTAATCTGACATGAGCCAACTTGTGGCAGGCATTCGGACGTCAGGGGTTGATGCAAGATGGCCAAGCCCAGATCTTAACTGATTCCAAGTCATCTGGCCCCAGCTACCTGGTAATGAGTTTCTCACAGGCAAATACCAGAGAAGTGATTGATGCCAATATAATTATTACGGAAATTCCATTGTTTCATTGAATTATTAAAATCATAGAATATGCTGAGTTGGAAGGGCCCCACAAGGGCCATCGAAGTCCAGCTCCTTCCTTCTCACTGAACTTTTGAAAGAGGGTTTTTGGACCAAAAGTTAAGGCTATAGGTGACTGGCTTTGGGCATTTACCTACAGAAGGAATGAAAACCATATCACTCTGTGCCCAACCCAGTGCCACCCAAGGACTCTGCTCCTGAAAGACAGAGATCAAACAGAGACCATAACTACACATATATCAAATGTAAGCCTAGGGCTACTCAGGCAAAACACTCCTGTGTAGCGCCTTCTGTGCCCTGAAAGAGAAGTCCTGGGGGCATGACAGAAAATTGAGGGTTTAGGGCACTGAAAAAATACAGAGCTGCCTTAAGAGCAAGCCAACATGATGTGATGTTAAAATATTTTTTTAATGGTTGTTTTTGAAGATCGTTTCCCTGGCTGAGATGTAAAAGGAAGAATTGCAATATCAGTCCAGATACATGGAGCAACGATGTTGAACTTGGAATTACAGTACTATGTCTGCTTCACCCTCAGCTCTGGTTCAGCTGTCACACTGGAAACACTGAAATATCTGAAATACACTGAAATGTACTTGTCTCTTTCAAAAAGTGGTAATACCATATACTGCGCCCCACTTACTACCACTCTTCCTGCCCTTCCCTCTCACTGATAAATGCATGCTCCAGTGCTGAGACATTATGTATTAATCAAAAATGACGCAGGATAAGGTATTTCTGCTTCTCAGAAAAACCTTCAGAATTTTGCAAGAAATTACAAAAAAAAAATCTCCATCATGTCACTTTTTCCAGAGAACAGCTTTTTTAAGAATAGAATTGCTCCCTTTTTGAACCTGAGGACCCGGTCAGCCTCTGGTGTTTCCTGTGGGCAGAAGTTCCTCGTCTGAATGACAAACACTGCAGGAAGAGGAAGCTCCTCTGGCTTTGAAGTTGCTGCTTGCTGGCTTCCCTAGTGGCCCCCAGCCCTGTGGCAGAGGAGACAATTGACATCTATCTGTCAATTGACAGGACTTCCAGCTTACTTTCTCCACATAACTCATGGTCTTCTCAGCCCCTATTACAAACCACTACCGCTTTTTCACACGCTGAACAGCCCTAGCCTGCTAACTCGCTACTCACACCTTTGTCTCACTCCATCAAGAGACCTGAGATAGGAAGAAGGACCTCGAGCCTCACCATGCCATCCCATAAACCACAGTGTGTGTTTGGAAAGGGCCCAGCGGGGTGGGTGCAGTTACTCCAGGGCTGTATCCACCCTACTGCCACTGACCCATGAACTTGCTTGCATGTATGACCACACTGAGTGATTGCAGTGTGAACACACAGCCACAGCCTACACCTAAAGCAAACAATATGAAAAGGCACAAGGAAAAATAAAGCAAAAGAGGTTTGCAAAAAATAAATGGTAAGGGCAAGGAAATCAACAGCGCAAATATTTAACCAGGGATAAATTAGTTTATCCATGTATTAAAAACAGCCCCAGCGAACAAGGAAAATACTGACAGAATACCTTCCCACCCACAAGATATGTGTTTGGTTGCAAATGTCTAAGTGAGAAAACAGAAACTTGCATGCCAGTGTCTTCGAGTAACATTTCTTTCTGCAGGGGTGGTGTAACAGCTTCTCCCACCTGTCTGTGTGGGTGTGTATGTCTATATACACCTAGATGTACACAATCTACAGACTATGGATCATATTATGTCATGCCACACTCCCACCAGACAGCACTGTGACTGAAATTGTCATGTGGTGGGAAGGGAGAACCTTCACAGACCAAGATTTGCAAGAAGGAACTGATCCTATGCAGTGCTGGAGATCAGGCTCATGCACTGTACTGGAACAGACCCAAAACATGGCAGGTGCAAAGGTTTTGGCCCACCCTTGGACATGAGGCTGTCATGTGTCTCCTTGGTATGGTGGGACGGACTGAGAGCAGGGATCTGTGGCTATTTTTCCTGAAAAGCAACCAAACTGGCATACTCCCACCCATTCCTTGTCACAGCATCTGGGCCACTGTCCTTCACAGCAGGTCACAGTGCTCTCACTTTGGTGGACAGCTGGAGTAGCTCCGTGCCCACTTGGGTTTTCTAGGAACCACTTTCATGCAGCACTGCTTCCTGGTAGAATCATGCTTGTGAGTTGCCTAACTCTGGAGTGTCTTGAAGGGAACGAGTCATCCAAAGTACCTCCTCTCTAGATGAGGAAACAGTCGACTGGCAGCGGGAAATGTGGCATTTGTAACGCCTCATCCTTCCCTAGGGCACTGCTCATTTCTCCCTAAGTGTTACCTAACTTACTGAAAGCAATTCCGGTCGAATCCCTACCTGATGTTCAGACATTGCACACTGCAGGTCACAGTGCTAAGCGGAGTTGTCCGACTCTCACCTCTCCCTGCAAAACCAGAGATGCTCTGCTCATACAGCCAAGCCCCAGCCCTGACTCCCACCGGCAGCACGAAACCACAGCTTGCAGTGACCTTTGAGCCAAGTGAGACTGAGCAACAGGTTCAAAATGTATTTGTCTCTTCCAAAAACTTACTACCACTCTTTCCAGCCCTTCCCTCTCACTTATTTTCCTTGTCGTGGATTTATCCCCGCAGGGTGCAGTGGAGCCTCTGTGTCGCGCGAGACCCGTGCAGGGCTGAACAGCCTGTGCATCATCTCCCTGAAGCAAAATGGGAGCGGAAGGCCCCACCCAGGACCTCCCCAAGCTTTAACCCAGAACCAGCAATCCCTCAGGACTTCAAGGGCGTGAAGGGAGCTGCTTAGGAAGTTTTGGCAATTAGTACAGCCTCTCACAGACACCTTTCCTTAAACCTCAAGGAAAAACTGAAACATCTAAAAGGGTTATTAAACAGTCAGGAACCAAAAAATTTTCAGGGAGAGTGAACTGCATGTCTGGTTTGCTGCTCCACAGGGCAAACACTGTCCTGTGTATGCCAAGCACTGCTATTGGACATGGATGACTGTGGTGGTATGGGATGGAGTACCACAAGGTCCAGGTTTCCGTCACCCCCCTCAGCCTCCCCATGCTGGGGTGCCGCAGCTGGTCAGCACTGCCCTGTCCTGGAAGCCATCGCTAGCATTGCACCCACCCGGATGTCCCCTCGCCAGGCAAAGTTTCAAATTCCCAAAGCCCTTCACTATCACAGCTGAGTACAGTGGGGTCCTTCTCCTTTGATAAATTTGTTTTCAGGCTATGAATGCATATGCAAGTGTCCATTATGGTTTCTGTGGTTAGACAGTAAGCCTCAGGTGACCTAGGTCTGTATGATGCCTCAAGGAGGCACAGCAGGATTTAATGGGAACTGATAAACATGGAGGCAGAAGGGCAAACCAGTTTCCATTATAGATGGTGTTGATCATGAACTCAGTCCCTAGGTCACAGGAAATCTGACTGTCTGCCCAAATGCAATGGTCACCAACACCAGATTGGGTCAGCTGAGGTCTTTGTCTAGCTGAGCCTTGAAAACCTCGATGGGTAGAGACTCTACTGCCTCTGTGGGCAACTCACATCCTAGTGACAATTTTTCCTCTGATGGCCATCTTAAAAGTCCCAAGACAGAACCTGTGCCTGCTATCTCTTTTTGTACTGGCCACTTCTGTGTTGCCCCCGTAACTCCTTTCCAAGCTCATGTCAGCTGCTAAGAGGATCAGCCTGAGCCTCCTTGTCTCCAACCTGCCCACATCCCTCAGCCTCTCCTCGCAGTCTCCTGCCATCTTGGTATCCTTGAGCCAGACCAGTTTCCTACACCCTTCTTAAACTTGGGGATCCAGGGATGGAAAAAACAGCCACTGGCCATGTCAGGGCCCTGAGGGCACCACTGAGACAGGCTTCCCCTGCCCAACCCCACGGCTTCCCCCTCCACCCTGCTGATGGCCCAGGACCCCATTTCAGATTTTACAAGCAAGTCACTGGCCTTTGTTTTTTGGTGGTAAAGTATCTAGAAACAGACTTGCCTTAGAAAGGGTGCTGAAACACCCAGCCTAACAACCATCTACTGCCTGAAGGTTTTGCTTTACAGTCTAAAATACTTTATTCCTTTCTCAGTAATGCATTTTCAGGAATGTTATTTTCTTCAATCATGTTCATTAAAAAGTTACGTGGTACAATGCCCCACACACTCAATTTTTAAGGGCAAAGTCCTGGTTCTCCTGGGAAAGCTTCTATCACTGACCTGAGCTCACCCCAGACTTTTCTCTGAGACCAAGTGAGCTGCAAGCACCACAACACTCGTTGTAAATAAGCACCCCTCCCTTGTGCGACTTCGTGACTCTCAGATTCCCAAAATGAAGCTTTGCTACTGCTCTTCCGTAGAAGGCGAGCAGAGCACCTGACGTGCCAAACACGTCAGGATCAGTAGCCATTTATTCCTAACTTCAAGGTTTTTCTGTGCCAGACACGGTCAGAGCCACGGCACCCCTCTTCCAGTGTGTTGCATTACGAGGACTTCCTTCTTCGAAAACACCCCACTGCTTGCAAGACCGTGGAATTATGTGTGTGTGCGTGCGTGTGTGAAACACTCTTGCAATGTGATCAGTAACTGAGGCTTCAGAGGGTACTGAATCAAGTTCCTTGGAAATTTTAACTATACCAAACTCGGCAGAACAATCTATCTATCTTATCTATTGCATCTACTTTTACTGTTTATCAACCAGGCAATCATACCATCCTTCAAGTTATTTCAATATATGCTCTGACTAAGATGCTGTAAAAACTTTCCAAGTTTCAGTGAATTCTTGTCAATGACATCAGGGACATTTTAAATTTTTTATGTATATTTCCTTATCTAATCAGTCAAATTACGCTTTAAGGTTCAACTGAAGTGATAATTTCATTGGGCTTTGTTCCTCGTAAAGGAAGTGTTATTTACCTTAGAATACAATACTCTTGGACTTTGTTTATATAACAGATTTTTAAAACACTTCCCACTGTTAATTCTTGAGTGTCACTATGAGCCTTCCTGTTAACCATGCACCTGCTCCTTCTACTGTTTAAAGAATGACATGGTATAATAGCCCTGCTTGAGGAAAATATGATGAACAAGATGCTGAAAAATTAGGATTATGTTCAAGAAGGAGGGGAAGGTGCAAAAAGACTCATTACAGCCTGCAATTGTGTAATCAGAGAATCATGGAGTGATTTGGGTTGGAAGGGACCTTAAAGATCATCTAGTTCCAACCTCCCCTGCCACGGGCAGGGACATCTCCCACTAGAGCGGGTTGCTCAGAGCTCCATCCAACCTGGCCTTGAACACTGCCAGGGATGGGACATCCACCATTTCTCTGGGCAACCCGTTCCAGTGCCTCACCATGCTCACAGAAAATTTCTTCTGTGTATCTAACCTAAATTTCCACTCCTTCAATTTGTACTCATTACTCCTTGTCCTATCACTACAGTTCCTGATGAAGAGTCCCTCTCCAGCTTCCCTGCAGGCCCCCTTCAGATACTGGACAACTTCATGGCCCTCCTCTGGACTTGCTCCAACAGTTTCATGTCCTTTGGTGTGGTTCTCAGAGCTGGATGCAGTACTCCAGATAGGGTCTCATAAGAGCAGAGCAGAGGGGCATATCACCTCCCTCACCCTGCTGGCCACGTCGCTTTGGAAGCAGCCCAGGATTCAGTCAGTTTTCTGGGCTGTGAGTGTACACTGCCAGCTCGTGCTGAGTTTTTCCTCAACCATCAAACCCAAGTCCTTCTCCACCAAGCTGCTCTTAAGCACTTCTCTGCCAAATCTGCAGGGGTGCCTGGGATCAAATATGACTCCTCAATTCACATAAAACAGTGTGTAACATTTTGCACAAGCCCAGCTTGACAATGTTAGTTGCTTTGCCCCTATCCACCAATGTTATGTATACAGCATTGCAAACACAAATGTATTTTTGTGAGATGTATAAACAGAAGTGTATTTTGCTGGAACTTGAGTGGAAACGTGCACCCAAGATTCTCATCTAAAAATACAAAGTGTGCAAAAACTCCACGCAAGCACACACTACTGTAGCTCTCACACAAGGGTAACCCACCTTCTGCCCTGGTAAACCAGAGTCTTAAGAGTTGGTCATTATCTTCAGCCACCTTAAGAAGTCCATCACATCTGAACCACTGACTTGTCAAACCTAGTTCACTCACTAGTCTCATATAGCCTTTTTTTGTGTGTGTGTGTGGTCTAAAATATCTTTAAATAATAAATTTCAGCCACTGAGCTTTGGACACTGTTTTATTTTGAAATTGTCAGTGCTCCTTTCTGAGATGACTTCCAAACACATTTTGAATGATCACACACGAACTGTTTACACTGCTTTGACACGCAGTGATTGCAGCCTTCCTCGCAGCCCTGGTCCCTCTGGCAGACGTGGGTCAAGCCCCGTGTACATAGAGGAGGGAGATTCTGCCATAAAACACACCCTCCTCGGCAATCTTTTCTTCCCATGGGAACTGGAGGAAAACTTGCTTCTGTTCCCACCTTCAAATATTTATGACAGAATTTACAGCCCCAGTTTACGTTAATCTGTCCTAATAGTGAGGAGCACCAAGTAAAGCACTGGCCACACCTCCTGCACATGAGCAAACATCTCCTAAACCTTGATCTCTAACAATAACGGTAATAAAGAAATGTCAGTTTTGAGATATTCCATGTTAAAAAGCTTTCCAAATGGTTTGTTACGAAACGGGGCTCCAGCCAAATTAACCGGAGAGTCTGGTCCTTCTACTGCCATTTGCATGAAGGCAGCCATGGCTTACAGTTGGTTGAGAGTTAATAACAAGGGTAAATAAACCAGACTTCACTAATTTTCCACTATGTATGAAGATCTAAGGAGACCTGATGAATTTCAAAATGCAGAGTTCCCAGCTGTCATGTCTGCAGACCTATGAGGGACTGTGTCAAGTCACAGCTTCCCAGTTGACTGGATGTGTCCCACTCTATCACAGCTGCTACCCGAAGAGCTCCACTCCTCAGGGGTGAAGACCCATGTTGGTAAGAAGGAAAGGCACTCGGAGCACTTTGCCTTCCCCACCACCACATACGCCTCTCCCCTCTTTGAGGAGAAGACTTGGGAGCACACAAGCCTAAAAGGCAAAGGCATTGCCCCTCTTGAGACATGGTTGCCAGATGTGGTGAGCTACGATGGTCTCCTGAAGCAGGGGGCTCGGAGCAAACAGCTCTTGACCTCTTCTGGGGACTTTCCTTCTTTCTGATACGAAGAAGAAAAAGGCATGAACCCAACTCCAACAGCATTTCCATCCACAAGTCTATTTTATGCTCCTGCTTGATATGGCAGATCTGCCTGTCATGATAGACCTGACAGGTTCCGATATGGAGGCTCACAGAAACGTGTCCTTAGGTTTTCTGTACATGCCACAACTGTGACTCACTTTCTGTGGTTACAAGAAGAGAGAGACAACCTAGCAAGCCCAGAGCAAACAAGTGATATGCCTGAAATGTATGAATGATGCATACATTTACAGGCATCATTATATTTCTCAATTAGGATTCCAACTACAGAATTTCCAAGGGAAAAAAAAAGATGTGGGCAGGGGAATGGAGACGATATCTTACAAATGATGATTCATGACACATTCACCATGCTGACACCTGAGCACAAGAGATTTAGCAGGTATCTGGATACCAGTGATCTGGTTGATCACACTGCATAAATGGGAATCAGCATCATCCAGTGGTGTAAAAAAAACATTTACAAAACGTTAAAGCAATTGTCAACTTCAGTGGGATGGGGGATGTGTTGACCACGGACAGTCCTAGCGAAAGCAGCTGACCCTTCACATGCTGCCTGTTGTACTGTACCAAAATTACTGTTTGACCTACACACAGCAGGGATGGTGATCCAAACTCCGTCCTGGTTAAGGGTTTAAAGGAAAGAGCAGCAACCTTACAATGAGTAACATGTGAGGAATGCGTAAGTGAATATTAAAGGTGTCAGATATAAATGGTAAGTTAAAAGGTGTATGTGAATGATATAGGAAGCTGAAGGAATTACTAAAAGGCTCCACAGCATTATAGGCAGCACCAGACATGGAGCCATTTTAAGAGACAGACAGGAAAGTCAGGAACAGTGGAACAGAAATATCAGCTGCCTTCAGCATCTACTTCTGATTGCAATTCTATTTTGGGATAGATTGTTTTATGGAAAAGTACCAATGCACAGGCACGTTCCACAGCCACCATGTTTACTTTCAGCCTTCCCTGAACTGGGAAAGCTCCACAGCCGCAGGGTGTGAAGAGGAGGAGCAGCTGATAAGCCTCTGGCCCTGATTTTCACAATACTGACTCAGAGTGGATCAGCTCCCTCCGAGGCTGTCACTGCCACCACACCACTGCCAACCTGCCAGGAAAGATGCAAACAACGTGACTTTGCAAGTCAGCAGGTCATCAGGTGAGCAGGGGTCAGCAGGTCCTGTGTTCAGGTCGATGTGTTCGGAGGTTGGTGAGGACTGGGGATGCCATAACGAGACAGGCTGGGGAGGGGCAGCACGGCACCGTGCCCCCTCCAGCAGCTCTCACTCCTTCTTCTCCGCCGGGACCTGCACCAGCTGGGGTGCAGATGTGTGCAGCAGCACGAGCCCGCCCAGTGTCACGGAGAGGCCGACCCACCACAGAGGTGACCACGTCTCGCCGAAGAGCAGTTTGCCCAGGACTGCCTGAAGGAAAAGAGAGACATAAAGCTTTGCTGGGCTGAGCTGCTCCAAAGCCTCCTGCACTGCCAGAGCTGTGAGGACTTCTCCTGGGAGAGATGGCCCTGGGGAAAAAACGTGCTTGAGGAAACTCATGCTGGGACAGCCAACAGAAACGGTTGCTGCGGGTGATGCTGGAAATGACCGACTCTACCATCCAGCCTGGAAGCGCAGCTATATTGTGGTCCCAAAGCAGGACTTTGGCAGATGTGTCTGTGCTTTGCTGCCTTCCCATCACTTCCCAGGAGCCAAATCTCCTGTTGACTGGGCAACTTCAGTCAATTATTGGACACCACCACGATCTGTCTGCCAGTTGGAGCACAGATACAAGGTGGATTGCTGCCAAAAGTGAAAAGCAAGTAGAAAAAAAGTGCAGGTCAAAGATCCTCTTGCTGTCACTAGCAGCAGCGCATCTTCACATCCCGCTAGGGTGACTCTGGCTTGTCACAGGTGAGGTGTTGCAAAGGAAAAGCAAAGCAAAACAAAGCAAAGCAAAGCTCCTGGCTCTGGCTCTCACTGGCAGTTACTACAGTTCAGCTGTACAGCTGCTGCAAGGCACCAGGCTGGGCAGCAGTGCTCCTCCTCCTGCACCATCCAGAAAAGTTCCACCGCTTCTGCCATGAACAACTACCAAAGCAGCTGAGGCCTGATGCAATCATTTCATGTGTGCCTGTAACCCTCCCTTTGTGGCCACTGATGCTGGTTCTGCTGGGAGATGAGGTAAGACCAGTGGCATCCAGTGTGAGCACTCTCACATCGCTGTGCTCCTCAGGCTTCAGTGCCTGGGGAAGGGATCTACTCACCGAAGAGATGAAGTTGGAGGCTGTCGTTGTCACAGAGGCAGCAGCTGAGGAGGAAGAGAGTCGCAAGGCTTTTGCAAAGACTGTCCACATCACCGCATTGCATGCAAACACCAAGCCAACACAGCTGACACGAAGCAGCACTGGCAGCTGTAGGGAAAAAAATGAAAAGCCTGTGTATTTTCACCTCACTAATTCATGGGCACTTTGGAGCCAAACCCAGCGGCGTGGGCTTTTGAAGCTGAATTACACTGCTATTACATGAAGGTGAATATATAAGAAGAAAATGGAAGCGAGGAAACAACCCTGGACAGAGTGTGAGCCTGGTGTGTCCCACTGTGAGTTCAGCCTCAGACTACAAGCTAGGAGGTGTTAGGACAACATGCGGCAGCTGCTACGCCAGAAGCCAAATTTCAGAACACTCTCCAGCTCATGATGTGGTGGACACAAAATGCAGGGATATGCCCTTTACTCATCACTATACATATACAGATGTATAGAAAAGAACATCTGAACTGACAGGGAGAAATACCAAAGATGTAAATGCCGGCGCTGTGTTGGGTCCAGGACCCAAATGGTGTGAATTTGGACTGAGACCCCAGTGGTCCCAAAGCACTGGTCCTCACCAGCTCCAAGGACCTGGCCTGCATTACTGCTGCAGTGAGGGCAGCAGAGTTCTCTGTGAGGAAAGAGAGCTGAGGGGCTTCATGCCTTATCTCGCACACTCAGTGAAGATCAGATTTACTGAGAGGTCTCTGCTCCAGCATTTAGCAGCAACAAAACCACCTCTGAATTCAAGGGCTGTCAAGGCCATTTGGGTCCTCAAGAAAGACCTCCCTCCTTAGACAACCTGACCAGACATGCAACAGCCTCAGTCTGAAAAAAGGGCACAGAAGCACAGGGAGCACACAATGCTAAGGGAAAGCAAATCTTTGTCTAAGCCCATAGTAATCACAGCTTCACAGCCTGCCACCTTTCAGTCCATGGTGGGATTCATCTTGAAGAAGACAGAAACATAGGTGTGAAGTCACCAAAAAACCCAACTAAGAGGTGGTACCTGTCCCATGGGAATGGCTGCATTGCAGCCCCCTACCAGCTGCTCAAATCAATAGGGGCCACCAACTGTGTTCTGCTCCCACTCAGAAGAAAAAATTATATACTGTAAGCAGACAGGGATTTTTGAAGCAAGCAATGTTGCGACTACAAAGTTAAAAGGAAAAACCTGCAAAGCAAATCCCTGCTCGATGGCTGGTGCAAGCTCTCCGAGGCTAACCCCATTCCAGCGAGCGACAGTGCAGGTGCATGGTCTCATTTTGCCTCACCTGTGGCAAAGATCTCCAACCTGATTAGGGCAACAGTAAAAATCCAATATGACTCTCACCAGTGAAGCACTTTGCTTTCCTACTGCCACCCTGGCCAACCCTGTAGGGAGGGATAAGAGGGACAACCATTCACAGACTCTACTACTCCTCTGAGGATGAAAACTTCTGCCATGTTACGGCTCTCCATGGGATGAGGTGTGCCTCCTAATTTCAGCCTCTGCCTCTATGACCAGACAGTTTTACCTTCCTCGGGGCAGTTATGTACATTCACACACCTCTAGTGGGTAGGCAGATCTGGGAGTAAAGAGATGAGAGGGTAAAACAATTCTCCATGTTTCACCTAAATTCAGTATATTTCCATAGTCCAGGGGTTGGATCAGAGACCTCCACAGGTCTTGCCTGACTGGAATTAGTCTGTGAGACTGGAATCAGTCTGGTGAAACAAAGCTGGCTCCACGACCATCACGGCAACTATGTTATGTTCAAAACTGACCTTCAACCCATAGGTTTTTACTCTGATCTTCTTCCATTGCAGAGCCAGGGAAATCAGCTGCAGTATGCTCTGCAGGTGGCATATGCCCAGACTAAAGGTTTAGCAGAGAAAGATCAGGTCCCTCTGCACCTCCGGCAGTGGAGTGGTCATCACAATGGCATGCAGACAGAGAGATAGGAACATCCCCACGTGTTTCCTTCCCCACAAGGAAGGAGGGAGATATAAATTCCTCCCCAGCTAAAGACTCAGCTGAGCCACCCCAGTGAGTCAAGGATTACTGTTCTGATTGCTTTTCTAAGCAGAGATTAATTTCAGTGTACATTTCAGATAATCCAGAATCACTCCTGAAGTGGCAGAAGTAATTTTAGATGAAGACTGGCAGGGGAGCGGAGAAAGCAAAGTAAAGCTTTTGTTCAAGAGAAATGACCCCTCCTGGTCAGTTTGCTCTCATGCTTGGCCATCCCAACACATCCTTCTGGCCAGGAAATCCCTCTTTGTGCTGCTGTTGAATATCCTGCTACCCTACATTATAAGCTCTTAAAAGCATCAATACACTTCTAACATTTCCTGGCCCATTCCATGCTGCACAACTGATGGCTGCTCTTATACTTTCTTTGAGATTTCTGTAGCTCTTCCTTAAACGCAAAACTCCTCCAATCTCTTTGGCCTTGAGGCTGCTCCGCAGAAATGCCTTTGCAGCAAGCATGCAGGATTCAAAGGGAGCCTCTGAAACGCTTTAAGTGTCTATAGTCCTGCACAATTTAAGCCACTAGGAAGATTATGGCATCTACATAAAGCCTGGCTAGTTTTACAGCTAAACTGATTAACTTAATTGTCACCTAGAACGGACCTGAAAACTGAAGGAACCAATTTACCCAGAAAAAAGAAACACAGTCACAGAATCACAGCATGGCTGAGGTTGAAAGGGACCTCTGGAGTTTATCTGGTCCAACCCCATCACTCTTAGAGCAGGCTGTCCAGGTCCGTGTCCAGACAGTGTCTGAATATCTGCAAGGATGGAGACTTCATCACATCCCTGGGCAACCTGTGCCAGTACCTGGTCACCCTCACAGTGAAAAAGTGTTTCTAGATGTTCAGAGCAAACCGCCTGTGTTTCAGGGTGTGCTCATCACCTCTAGTCCTGACACTGAGCACCACTGAAAAGAGCCTGACTCCATCCTCTGTGCACACTCCCTCCCTGCAGGTACTATATACATTGAGGAGATCCCCCGAGTCTCCTCTTTTCCAGGATGAACAGTCCCAGCTCTCTCAGCCTCTCCTCCTAAAAGAGATGCTGTGGTCTCTCCATCATCTTTATGGTCCTTTGCTGGACTCTTTCCAGTAGCTCCATCTATTTTTTTGCACTGGAAAGCTCTGAACTGGACCCAAAACTCCAAGTGTGGCATCATTAGGGCTGAGTAGAGGCACAGGATCATCTCCCTTGACCTGCTGGCAACACTCCACGTCAGTGACATGACACTTTGTCATAACACTTAAAAAAGAAAAAAAAAAGCACCAACCCTCCCCCCCGAACACATACGCAGTATTTTTTACAAATTTCATCAGAGAAAAATACTCAGAAAAGATGTTGTCAACATTTTCAGTAATTCCATGCTCTAGTATTCTAGTCAGTGCAGAACACAATTTGGGGATTTTTTTTTTTTTTGGGGGGTTGGAAAGAGTATCAGGATTTAAATTTTTTATTTTCCTTTCTGCCACCTTTTCTGATCTATCAGAGAAGATCAACAGGATTCACAGATACCGAGTTTTTGCCTTTTTAATCCTTCCTAATAATCACACGGATTGATTTTCTCTTTTTTTCCTGGTGCACGGCTGGATTTTGTCAGCTCTAGTTTCAACTCCAAATGTACATTTGCCACATGAGTAACAACCTATACCTAAGTTAATCTCCCCAATGTGTTTTTAGGAGACGTGTACGCTGCCTACCTCAGCATCTCCCCACTCACACACAACCTCGTGTACCTCCCCACCTCCGCTGTGCCTGTGCCAGAGTTCACCCCTGTAGGTAAGGACACTGCTGCTGGGTGAAAGGACAGCAGTCCCACGTAACCCCAAGCATAGGAAGGTTTGAGAAACAAAACCGAGATAAAGATCACCACCAACGAACACACGAGGATCAGCCGAGCAGCGCAGGGGAAATCAAGGGCTCCACCTGCCTGCTCTGGTACGGACTGAGCTGAGAGAGCAAGAGGGAGAAGAGTAATGTTATAAGCAAAACAGTGGACTAAGAACAAGCGCTTAACGCTAAAGAGTACTGACATCCTGCTTCTAAAGTAACACTGACGTAGAACCACTGCAAATGCAGGGTTGGGCTTGGTCTGGGGCATTCCCGCACTACGCTTGTTGTCTTTACATCTTAGCAGCCTCGCTTCCCTCTCCCTGCTCCTTGTTTACGTCGACACCGCGCATTAGTCAGCCCTCCAAGGCTGGGCTCCCCCAGGAGGTGACTCAGCGCTCCGCTTTCCCTACAAATCCAGGGCAGCCCCTGGGAGCGCAGGAGGGAGAGCAGGAGCGCTCCCGCCAGCGCAGCCGTGACGCCCAGAGCCGCCTGCGGGGCGGCCGCACAGGCACCCGCGGCACCGCCCCCCTCCTTCCTTACCGCGCCGCCGGCCGCCTCCTCGCCCGGCCCCAGCGCCAGCTTCGCCGCGGCCGCCGCCGCCGCCCCGAGAAGGCCGGCGAAGGCCGCCGCCGCCCCGCCGCCCGCCCGCATGGCCCTCCGCCGGGCCCCTGGGCCGCCTGAGGGGCGCGGCCGCCGCAGCGCCGCCCCGAGCACGGGCGGGCCCGCTCCCAGAGACACAGCGGCGGCCGGGAGCGGGCGGGGGGACGGCAGGGAAATATGCCACGGGTGCGATGTTCGTTTATATACAAAGGCTTTTATTTGAACGGACAGAAAAGGAGGGAGTAGGAGAACAACGCAGGTCCTGCCGTAGCCAGATACAACACAGAAAAAGGGCAGAAATCGCCTACGTGGAAATAGTCCAGTAACAGACAGGGAGGAGACATTTGTAAACCTAGGACGCGGCAGTAACAAATAAAGCACGCAGGGGGCAACAGGTGTGTTATCCTTGATGTACCCCTCTAGGCCTCATCTGAACTAGATTGTCTACGGGGAAAAAACCCCAAACCCTACCGCATTTATAAGGTCAGCCTTTTTACTCCTGTACATCACATCAGAGCTCAAGTAGGAACTTGAACTTAGGCAACTTTAAAAGGCATAGATAAGCTGGTAGAAGTTCTTCCCCTCAGCCAAATCATGCAGAAACTCACTAGGTCTATCCTGGCCTTTATCAGACACATCTTCCGCTTTGCTCCATTTTGCCCCAGCGCTTGTGGGCAAAAGAAGTACTGTATGAAGTAGCCAAAAACTAGAATGATAGGCTTACTGGCAGTACAAAAAGAGCCTGTTTGATATTGCTAGATAAGTCAACATTTTGTGCTCCACTAACAAACATTTCATGTATCTGCAATAAATCTGAAGTGCAATTAAGTGAACTTCTGCTGTACTCCTAAAATGTTCTGCATATTTTCACAGCTTCTTTCGTAACACTAACTTGTTTGATAAGAAAATGGTTGCAAAATACTTAGAATTTCCTACAATTCTAATACAGAAGTCTACTATAAGTCTATAATAGGGGAAAAAAGGGTTGAAAAACATTTTAATTTCATATAAAGAAAGAACAGAAAGGTAAAATATATTTATAGTGCTATTTACAAGTCTGTTACTAAATTCACATTTATGCTTTATGGAACAAAGTTCACTATGAAAATTATTTTTAAGCAACCCAGTAAAATCATCCTATGTTTAGCTAAAGAAATAATCACAAACAAATTGAGCTTTTAAAATTTTGCCTCTGGTGGAAAATGTAGCATTTCAGAAGAGGTAGGAACCTGAATAAAAGCACAAAAGGAAACAAAGATCCAGGTGTGTTCCCAGTCAGAAAGTTTTTCCTTGGCAAGGTACAAAAGTTCCAAGGAAGTATCTTCCAGCACCTATACAAAATCAGTTTTGGAAATTGAAAATTACTGGAAGGTGTTAATATGTCATTGGAAGCTGCCCACATAGCTGGTATAACATTCTCCACTAAGAGTTATTACCAGCAAAAAAAAAAAATCTATGAAGTAAAATACTTGATTATTCCATGACCACAGCAAAAGTCAAGTTTGACAGATGGCTTTTGCTTATTCTGTACACTTCAAAAATATGGCTCTGCAGTTTTATTTGTGTCATTACAGCTGATCATAATGTCTACAAATGTCACATTTTTTTGATTCTTTCAAAAAAGCGTTTTCAATGCGTAGTTTTTCAGTCTCCTGTAAAACAGAAAAAAAGCATGGGTATATTAAGGAAATTTTCCTCACGTCTTTTATATTTCTAAATAACCGGTATCTATATTTGTTTGAGTGTTTTATATACTATATACTTGGGAAAATAAAACAGGGTGATCCTTGTCTGGGGCTCGTGAGGAGATGGACCAGCCATGACTTACTCAACTGCATAAAATCTATTGCTCTTCAACAGAAAGGCAAGAACTTTAGTTGTCATTCTCAAAGCTCAGCTCTCTTCTGTGTCAGGCCATGACTTCATCTGTATTCTACTCTGCAGCTTACCTCAGTGAGCTTAGCGTTATCTTTCTTCAGTTTCACAAGATACTGAATCTTCTGGTTTAGATTTTGATGACCAAGTAATTTCCCGTTCTCCTCAGCAAGAGAGTCAACTTGCTTCCTCAGCAATTCTATTTCCTGTAATTATTATAAATACATGGTGTACCTGTTAGCAGTAGCCTCTCCTTTTTTCGGAAGGAATAGCTTCTTAGAGCTACAAACATACTAACATTTAAGTTTGTTGTAACATATGATGCAAGAATTGGTTCATTCAGGAAATACATATTTGTCTTATGTCTCCTTAGATACTACGTTAGATCCTTCTAAAGGTCAAAAAAGAGCACTAATTTATTTGTATTATGAATCGCAACACCGTTTTCTGTACCCAGACTTCCACTAGTGCACAAATACTACAAATACAACTAAACTGTAAGACCTCTACCACTGCTGAATAAGATTCTACTGTAAAGACGAAAAAAAGATTATACATGTGTAACCTTTTCAGTTCTGTCTCTTTCTTCATATGCTTCCTCCAGTTTTGATCTAATATCTTCTTTTTCTTTAAATGCTTTGAGCTCCAAAGTTCTTGTTCGTTGTAGCTCCAGAGTCATTTGACGACAGGCATTCTCTTGGACTCTGAGGATATTTTTGCTCTCTTCTAATCTGCCAATATACAAGAAGCATAAAAAACTTTAAAACCAATATGCATGGCATATAAGTGAATTACTAAGTCAGTCTTGGACATGGAGGGAGACTCCTTTAAAAGTGTCCTTCAGAGACAACAGATTTTTCTTAGAACTTAGTGTTAAGGGAAGGCAAAATTTCATTCTGCTTCACAGCTCTTCTGTTTGATACTATCAACTAGGCAGTGTTTTGGAGATGCTCTTCTCTTTGGTAACTGTGCTGTTTGGGAACTGTTTGCAATCCAGGAGACACAACTCCACTGAGGAGAAAGCAGAAACAGAAGCTTCGCCTACAAGGACTCTTTGAATTAATCCACCAAAGGAATGTAAATTTTTCAGCTAAACTCAGCCGCTCTTCAAGTTTCCCCTAGATTGCTTGTCTGTCTGTGACTTTTCCCCCAGTGGTTTTGTTGTTCAGAAACATCTCTGAGCATCTCTGATGGCCTGAGCTTGTTTGGCCTGGTAACAGAAGGACCACCACTTAGGATAGAATTAAAACATTCTCAGCAGGCAAGATGTCTGTAAAGCTCACAGAATATTAAACTGTGCCATCAAACTTCAGAGTCTGTCTACTGATTATGTGAACTTCAGTAATTTTCCAAGTCTATTCAAATATTGTATCAATTAAATTCTTTTTGTCATCAGTTTTGTTTTACTGAAGCCTGGTGTTGAAGACCAACTCTGTGAAAACAGTATTCATTTGGTACATTTGTCAAGACATTTTCTTAAAGAGGAAAGAATATTTCCTTCTTTGTGCATTATTTGTTTGTATGAGACCTTGTAGCACTGTTATAAAGCGTATTTCAGAGACCAGACAGGTACAAAATGATCCCTAATTGCCAGACTAGGGTTTCTGGAAAATTTAATTCAAAGTTACTTTTGAAATGACCACGTGCATAAAAACTATCTTCCTCCTTAAAAGAAGTTACTTACATAGAAAGAGTACAGATTAGGAAAAGAATAGCAGGACCAACATTTTCAAACTAATGTTTATCTATTAATTCAGTATTTTCTTTCTTTGCTACTATCCATCCAAGGTGCAAAACACTTGAATTTTGAGGACTATTTGCACAATTGTGCAAACACAAACTAGGAGTCCTCTAATAATAAAAAATGTTCATTATTCAACATGAACTGCAAAAATTTAAACAAATAGCATAAAAAGAAAAAAATTAGATTATATTTAAAATTATAAACCAGTTATGATACTAATAAAGAAATGAACAGTATTTCAATTCAATTTGAAAGGGGATGTGCTTAGAATTCATTGCACGTATAAAACTTAACACATAAATAACTTTAAACAATTAGAAATGTCTCTTCCAATTCAAGTTTTTATGGTTCTACCCATTTCAGAGTATTGTTCTGATATAATGCTATCCTTTTCAGTAAATGTAGTAATAGGTGCTACTACCACCTACTGATGAGAAAGAGTAAGAACTCAATGTGTCTTGCAAAAGTATAAACATTTCCAGATTATGTCTTTTATAAATTCAGATATTGGACTTCTAGTGCTTAAATATAGCTTTTTTGTCATTAATTAGTTTAATACAAGTTTCCAGTTCAAAGAACAATATTTAGACTTACTCTGCTTTCATTTTCAGCATTTCCTCCATTGCTTTATTCTGTAAAAATTCAAAAGCATTAGATACAGTCCTAATGTTTAACATACAGATGTGTATTTAAAATTATTTATGACTTATTTGATGCTATGTATCTCATTACAGATCCAGCCAAAGTCATCCTACTCCTCCATAGCTCACATGTCTAATATTCACTCTAAGTTCATCTCTTTGCTATATGCAGGTATTTCCCATTTCATGCCAGCACAAATGACCCACAGCATATCTCTCTGCCCACTCACACAGAGCAAAGCTCTAACAGGGGATTTTTCTGCCTGGGAGATCCATGGCAACCTCCGCTGTGACATATTAACTTCCTTTTGACACAGACCTGACATTAGCAAGTGACACAATCTTCACTTTCCAACTCTGTGGAGATGAGTCAGATTTAGCAATCCGAATCTGTTTTTGCTTCTTGTGTAATCTGACACCCAGTTCACTGGTGTCAGGCTGAGATAGAAACCCTAAGAGCTAAGTGTCAGGCTGTGCCTATTAGAAGTCACTACAAATCAGTGTTTGTTTCACTGCTGTGAAACAGAAGAAAACAGGTTCATACTTCACAGCAGGCCAACAGCAACTGACGTGAGAACGATAATATACCTTGGCAAGTCGCTCCTCAGCGATCTCCTCCTCTTTCTCTTTGAGCTGCTGAACATCAGGATGTTTCTGATCACTAGGAAATTCAAGAATGAAGAAAGTTTCTCATAAATATAAGAAACCAGTTGTAAAAACATCTTATCCAGATTAAACCAGTAAATATGTGTAGTTGTTTTCAAACGTGTTCATACTCAAAATACTGAACAC